ACGAAATAGGTTCTTGAAACACATGATGAATCAGCTTGCGTCCGTTCCGAAGTATTGCCGCTTCTTTAGTTTTTTTTTTTACAATTTTATAATTCTTATACATTCCATAATTCTACTTATCCTCTAAACTTAACTTAAACTTAGTCTAACTTAACGCTAACTTATCTCTATACCGCCTTACATCTTACATCTTACAACCTACTATCTATTCTATCCTAAACACACACATTAACCCTACTCTCAAGGGACCTCCGTTTCCGCCGCCTTTTTCTTTCTTCCATTCTTTTCTGTTTTTCCATTCACTCCCCCTCATTTATTCTCCTTACTTTTACCCTCATCCTCATTCATTCTCATACATTCCCATTCATTCTCGTTCACTCTCATTCTCTCTCATATATTCATTCTTTGCCTCTCCATTCCCCACCCTGCTTTCTCCTCTCCACTTCTCTATTCTTAATTAGAATTCCCTTTCTCATTCCCCCCCGAGTACCTCCTCTATTCTTTCTTCCCAATCTCCATCCGCTCCCCATCTCTCACATTCCTTCCATAAATGCTTCCATGTCTCCTTCCCTCATCCACACATTCTACACCTTCTTTTTCCCTTTTCTTCCCAGTATTTTCCTCCCTTCATCTCATTTCCCAACCTATATCTTACCACCCGTTGCCACCTGGTCTCTCCCCAGCCTTTCTTCAGGTATCCCGGTATTCCCTCTGTTCTTATTCTTTTATACCATTCATTATACCTTGACTTTCCTATCCTTTCCCATCTTTCCTTTCTTTGCATTCTCATTTCATTTTCTATTAATTTCTGTGTTATTCCCATTCTTTCCCCCTATCCCCTCCCCACTCTTCAGTCTCTATCCCTCTTGCCTTATAAAATTCTATCTTTCCTTTCTCCCACTCCGATAATTCCATCCTTCCTAATGCTCTTTCTTTTATCTCCGCCCAACATCTCCTTGTAATTTCACTTCCTTCTCCCGTTTCCAGCCTTTCTTCAAATCTCCATGCTCTTCCCCCTGCCTTTCCTCTCATCATTTCTCTTTTCATCTCTTCTCTCATCATATATCCCGGCGTCCTCCAATCCACCCCTAGGACTCATTTTATAAATCTTTCCTGTAATCTTTCTACATTAGTAAATGAGAAAGGTCACATCGAGCCAAAAAAAAAATATTAATATAATAATATAATGATTTAATAATCAACACTTTAACATATATAAAAAATACGCAAAATATTTTGACTCTAACTGGAGTCTTCTTCAGTCGCAATTAACATATCAATAATATAAAAAATGTAAAAAATACGCAATATACATTATGTCAAGATATAAACAAAGTCAATGTTTAAAAGCAACGCAAAAGGTTGGCCGTTGATATTAAACATGGTGTAATTACCTTGGAGATGACATTCTAAAAGAATAATAAAGTAAAGTATTCAATCACCGTTACACATGAAGCAAAATTTAAAATGAACTTACTATGACGCATGATAGTCAAACTCTGAAGGGAAAGATAAGAGGCACGAGAAACATATAGGAGTTCTCCCACTCATAGTGGGAAAGTTTTATATTTTGTATATTATTGATATGTTAATTGCGACTGAAGAAAACTCCAGTTAGAGTCGAAATATTTTGCGTATTTTTTATATATGTTAAAGTGTTGATCATTAAATCATTATATGATTATATTAATATATTTTTTTTGGCTTGACGTGACCTTTCTCATTTACTAATTTGTTTTTACATTACGAGCGTTTCTGTTTAATTTATTACATCTTTCTACATTTTCCCATTCATTTCATCCCCACACTTCGGCTCCATATCCTACCACCAATCATACCAGCGCATCAAACAACCAAATCCTTTTTCCCCAATCCTTTCCAAATTTCCTTTTCCCTATCCCCCTTACTTGTCTCATCACTGCCGCCCCCTTCTTACTCTGTCCTTTACCTGCGCCTCCATACCTCCATTCTTCTGAAATATATATCTTAAATATCTAAATGTCTTAACTTCCTTAATTTTTTCCCCCTTTCATCACTATTTCCTCTTCTTTTCCCTTCCTCCTCTTTTCCTAAACCTGATCAACTTCGATTTTTCTACATTTACCTCTAACCCCTTATCACTTATATATCTTTCAAAACCCTTCATCATATTCCCCATCCCTTCTTCATCTTCTGGTAACAAAACAATATCACCGGCATAAGCCAATGAATGAATCTGCCCTCCTTTCAGTTTCACTCCACCCCAGCCTCTTTTTTTCTGCTTTTCTTCCAAGTCCGACATCATTATATTGAATAATATCGGACTCAGAGGGCAACCCTGCCTGACTCCTCTACTTGTCCAGAATTCCTTCCCTATTTCCTCTCCTGCCCTCACCCTAATCCTTGTTTCCCTATATAATTCGCTACATCTCATCAGCCCTTCCCTGATCCTTCTTTCCTTCATCATTTTCACAAAAAGTTCTTTTACCACCGAATCAAACGCCACCCTCAAGTCTACAAAGAAAGCTATCAACTTCCTTCCCTTCTTTCCCAAATTCTTATTAACCAAGTAATTTAAGATATATACATTGTCCATCGTTCCCCTACTCTTCCTAAACCTTGCCTGGTTATCCGGCACTATTTTCTTCCTCTCTATCTCTTCTCTTATCCTTTTTGCCATTATTTCCGCATATATTTTATAGAATGTTGACGCCAGCGTTAACATTATATAATCTATCCTTCTGTATTCTTCTACTTTACTTCCCTCCCCCTTTTTAAGCACCGGAACTATTACCCCCTCACTTCATTCACCCACCCCTCTCCTCTCCATACTCTCTGACGCAACTCTCCTACCCTACCATTCCTTCAATTTCTCCCCTCCATACTTCCACACTTCCGACGGAATGCCATCTCCAACCACAGCTTTCCCATCCCTCATCTTTTTCAATGCCTTCTCTATTTCCTATTTTCCTATGTCCTCCTCCTCATCTTTCCCCATCTTTTTTCTCTCTCCCTGAACCACCTTCCATTCTAGACCTCCAAATTGCTTCTTAAAATATTCCTCCCACTCCTCTAATTCTATCACGTTATTGCTTTTTTTATACTTTCTTCTTTCTTTATTTACTATTTCCCACACTTCCCTTCCGTCTTCGCCTTCATCACTACCTTTTCCCACCTCTCAGTCTCTTCTCTTTTCCTCTTCTCGCACAACTCTTTTTATCTCCTCTTTTCTTCTCTGTATCTTTCCTTATCCCCCTGGCCTCTTATCCATCTTCTTAATTCTCTTCTTACTTTTTTCTTCTCTTTCCTACACTCCTCATTCCACCAACCCCTCTTATTTACTCCTTCCTCTCCCCTCTGTCCCCCACATACTCTTTCTATCCTTTCTTGATTTCTTCCCACTCCTCATCAACTCTTCTTTTACCTTTTCTTTTAACCTGCATCTCCCTTTCTAACTTCTCTCTTTTCTCCATTGTCCAAATTATCTTCTTGTTTTCTCCTCCCCCCTTTTCTTGCTTTCCTCTACCCCAATTATCTTTTTTGATACATATCATCACCGGGTGGTGATCCGAATTTATTTTATCCATCACCTCCAGTCTCTCTACTTCCTTCTTTAACTCCGCAACGCCCACATAATCAATCACCCTTTCTTCCCTACCACCTGTATACGTCTATTCCCTTTCCTCATCTCTTTTTATATTCCCATTCCAGATCGTCCATCCTAACTCTCCAATTTCCTTTAACAGCCTCTTTCCCTTTGCATTAATCTTCTTATCTTTCAACCTTCTTTTTCTTTCTTCTCCCTTCTTCCCGTGTCCCTTTATCTCTCCTCCTTCCTCTCCTGTTCTAGCATTAAAATCGCCACCTACTATCACCCTTTCTTTTTTTCCTTCTATCCAATTCCGTAATTCTCCCATCTTTTTCTCTACCTCTTTGTTTACGTAAACTCCTATTATTCTCTACCAACTATCCCTTAATTTCACTCTCTTTGTCATTAACCCTTCTATGTCCACTTCTTCTTTTTCTTCTTCTATCTCTATTCCTCTTTTAACTTCCATTACCATTCCTCCAATTGCTCTCCCTTTCTTATTCTTCTTTCCTGCCCATTGTACCTCCCATCTATATCCTCTTGGTAATAAGTTTCTCAATTTTTCCTATTCCTTTTTATCCACCCAAGTTTCCATAAAAACCATTATATCCCAATTCAATCTTTCCCAGAAATCCTTATTTTTATTTTTAAATCCTGCCACATTCCAAAAGACTACTTTATAATCTTCCATCCACCCACTCTCCTCTCCTTTTCCTTCTTTTCCTTTCCTATCTTTTTCTTTTCCTCTTGCCCCATCAGCTATTCTCTTCCTACCCCCTCTCTCCCTCCTTTTCCTTCCCCCATCTTTCTTCCTTCCCCCTTTCCTAATTGCTCTATTCTCTCTAAAACCTTCATCTCCTCATTCCACTTCCATTATTCTCCCTCAATTCTTATCCTGTCTCCTTCTACCCAAACATACTTCCCTTTTCTTCTTTTTTTTCTAGCAATTACCTTTAGTTTCCTTCTCACCTCTTTTTCCTTCTATGTTAAATCTTCCTCTATCCAAATCTTTTTACCCTTCAAATTTCTTTTCTTCTCCCATATCATTCTCTTGTCTTCCTCTTTTTCTACCCTTACCCACACCATCTCACCTCTATCCTCTCTTCCAGCATTAAGCCTTCTCATGTTCTCCAACTTCACATCTGCTCCTATCTTCTTTAATATCTTTTCAACTCCCATCTCCAGTCCCCTTTCTCCTTCTTCACACCCTTTATTACAAAATTCTTTTTCCTCCTCTCCTTTTTCTCCTTCCCCTCACTACTCTTCTCCATCATCTTTAGCCTCTCTTCTAAATCCTTCTCTTTGCTCCCCTTTTTTTCTCCATCTCCTTCTCTTTCTCTTTATTCTTTTTTTCCTCCACTTTCTTCTCTAATTCCTTTATTCTTCTCTTCATCTCTTCCCTTTCCACTCTTAATCTTTCTTCTCTCTTTCTCTACTTTTCCATTTCCCTTTCCATTTTCTTGACTTTTTCCACATATTCTGCTATCTCCTTTTTTACCTTCTCTAAAATTCTCCACATCTCTTTTTTCTTCCTCTCCTTGCTATCCTTACTATCATCCCCTTCTTCTTCCTTATCCTCTTTCTTCCCGTTTTTCTTCTTCGGCGATATCTGTATCCTTTTACTTTTCCTATGTATTCTTTCTTCTTCTCTACTCTCTCCTTCTCCCTCATTCTCCCTTTTCCTCTTAATCCATGTTTTTAGTGTCAAGCTATTACTCATCGATCTTTCCTTTCTATATCCTTCCTTCATCTTTTCCATCTTGCTTCTTTTTTTCGCCATTCTCCATATAATTGAATCCACCTGCAATTTCCCCAAATTCCCTAGCGTCACCCGTCCTCAGCACCTTCCACACCTCCTGCACTCTCAGACTCACGCTCTTGCACTCTCTGACCCTAACCTATTTACGCCCCTCGCACTTTACCTATTCTTCACCTTCTCCCTTCACCCTCACCTTCACCCACTCTCTCTCACACTCCATCCTATATCCTCCACACGCCACTCACACCTTTGCTTCACCTTCTCTCCTCTCTATCACTCTCTCAAATGCCTTTCTATCGCAGCAGCTATTACAGTTGTCACACTTACACGCTACCGGAAACGGAAATCCTGCCGCTTTTTTAGTTATAAAGTTGTTGTCTCCAATCACAAAATCTTGCAGATCCACGAATAGTGGCATGTCCATCGCGGAACGTGACGTCATCGTCGTTGTCGACGGTGAGAAAGCGTGCGACATCGTTGATGGTTCGAACGCGACTGATGACTGCTCTAAACGATTCGTCGCACGACGCTGGTCAGTGGATTGTACTCAACAATACGATCGTGTATGATCAGACACTACGCGGCTGTATCGAGGGGTACATTTTCTTTGCAGTTGAATTTGATGCAAACGTCTACGATGGCGCTCTTAACCGTTTCGTTTTAGCGCAACCAGTCAATGACTACGAGAGGTCCGCAGTAGATAAACTTGTCTAATGTTAGAAGCGCCTCGTCCTCATCGCGTCCGTAGTAGGCTCTGTTGAATTTGACGTACATATTGTACAAAACGGCATATCGTTCCTTACTAAAATCCAGATTCAAGTCATCATAAGGATAGAATTCCGAATTCAGGAACAACTTTACATTGGACAAGTTGCAATAATCGAACCGCGAGCAATCTCGGCTGACAACGTTCTTTCGACCGGTCTGCAACGCAAAAATGATGTAACGCGGCTTTTCCAACTGCTTAGCCGCTTTTACAGCCCACGAATGAGACGTCGTGCTCTGTAACAGCGGGTACTCGTACAGATCCCACGAGCAAAATCCCATGGATAAATATCGACCGCTCTCCAGAGTGCGCAACAGCTTCAATTTGTTTACATCATTTAACACAACGTGTGGTATTCGCCACTGCACCTTGTGCAATTCCACCGTTGACTCGCTGTTAGCCGAAGCAAAGATGCTGTTGTTGTCGTTGCGTGATCGTATCAGAATGAGTTCGTGTCTCGCGTTGATTACCACGCGTTTGTAGTCCTCACAGAATCCCAGCAATGTGCGGAGAGGTACGCAAAAATTGAATTCACCAACACCTTTATTGGTGGACAAGTTCCAACCGGCGTGTCGCAGAACGTTTCCTGTTTCAGTGGTCAGAAACACGTAGTTCTTTAACGTGCTCGTTACACCGGGGTTGCGATTTCGATCGATTTCCACACTATTAAGCTCGTATCTGATCTCATCGAACATAAACGCCACGCAATTGTTTGTCAACGCGGCGGCGGCCGCGCCGCTTCTTTCCGCAGCCCCGGCGGTGGTTTGTAGACTGAACTTTCTCTTGACGTATAAGTAACTGTTGTACGGTAGAGTGTAAACATCCTGTTGTTGAATGGGTATGCGTATTTCGTCGCTGTGACCAAACGATGTATTGCCGTACGGGTTGTACGTGTGAGTCTCGATCTTGACGATACGATCATCGAGGACTGGCTCACCACCGACGCTGAGTACGTCGTTGTTGTTGTTATCCCCGTTGTCTACTGCGTAACCCAACGAACGCAAAAACGTCGCGTTTCGCGCGGTCAATGTCGAACGATCGCGCGACGAAGTCACGAAAACGAAAGAACAATCTCGTTGCGTTTTTTGTTCGCTCGATGCGGCCACGACGAGCATAATTTCCTTCCTACCTCGCTGCGCGGTGTCGACACCGTTTACTCGCGTATCTTCCGTACGTGCAAGCGCATCGTTATCGTTTCGTCGCAAAAATCAATCAATCGACCGTTCTGATTCACTATACGCACCGTGATGTCCGTAACGCTTCCCGCGATGACCAATAGGTAAATGATTTGACACGGCGTCTTCGACAGTTTATATCCCGGCACGTTCAAAGCAAATTCGTGTATCGTGTGCACGGGTTTCTCGTTGCTGTACGTTCCCGCGGTGATGTTGCATTCCACGCGAATCACATTCACGTTCATGATGTTCACCGGTTTGTCGGACGCGTACCACCGATTAGGTTGCAGAATGCGCGACGATCAGAAACCGAGCAGCAAGCCGATGTTGTTGGGTTTGGAAAAGTTGACTCGATAAGCGCACTTGATCTCGCTTCGCATGGTGTTGTCGTTGGCGCGAAGTATCAACGCGCTCTTGTCACCCACATTGTTATCATCGTCATCGAACATATCGTAGACATCATCATCATTATTGTTAACGCTCGTCGTCGTTGTTTCGCCTACGACCGGTTCTCGTTGTTAACGTCTGCGAAGCCCAGCGGTGTTCAGAAAACGAGCGAGAGCGCGCAACTCGTACGAACCCTCGGGAATCGTTATCGTTTCATTGTTATCGTCGAAGTAGAATTTGTTGTTCGTCGAGTCGACGTTCGGTATCGTGTTGTAAGACTCGAAGTTTGTAAGATCGAGTTCGTAGACTCCATCGCTCAGATCGATAGGTAGATAGTAACTCACCGCGAAAACGCTGCTTGTACCGGTTAATGTGAGCGTGATCGACAGTGTTGGTGGTGCGCTTGAGAGCGATCGTCTACCACTTGAGATTCCTCAGAAATCGCAGGTTTTGGTTTTGGTGCTCTTTTGGCTCAGTGGACCTACAAAGCTAGTCCATACGCCATTCTACGTCTTTTTGATGATAGGTTTAAAACCGTGGATAGGGTTCCTGACGCCTAGCCACGGAGTTGTATACTGGTTTAAATTAACAGATAATAATAAAGAAAGTGGTGTAAAACACCGAAAATTGTCCAAAAATATTCGCACCGTAACTACGCACATTCAACCGGTACGGCTGATGCAACCCAACTCACTCTCAGAAATCGCAGACACAACTGACCGCAAACGCTCTGATCGTACGTTTGATACGATTGTACGCGATCGTCACGTCGCTTCCTAGATAGCGCTCGAGTTCTCGCGGAGGACGCAAGTTGCCGAATCCGTCAAAGTACACGCGTTGCGTCCTCTCTTGGCGTAGGTGACCTAATGCGTGCCCGGTCCGATAGCGTCGTCAGATTAACGATACCGCTCTCGTTCGCGCGTACGCGCGCGAGTAAAGCGTTGCGCATAAATACACCCCTAAAGAACGGTATGCGTAGTCGTCTGGCAAGCATGTCGAGTTACACGTTCGTGGTGACACCGGATGGCAAAGCGACATCTATCGCTTGCGTCCGCAAGGTTTTTTTTTACCGCAAAGACCTCCTCCTCCGAATGCGTTGCGCTTGTACGGCGCGAGATACAATCCGCGACCTTCTATTGCGCGATTGTGCCGTTGCAGTTCCTCCAATTGACGCGCAGCGGTCTTTCGATCGCCAACAACTTTTGCTACATTGCCGATCAAGGATCCAATGGCTCCCAGCACAGGCAATAGAGGCAGCAAGCCGCTGCGTTTCGCAACTGGCAGAATTCTCTTTCTCTTTTCCGCATGTGTTTTCTTTTTACCTATCCTTTGTCTCTTAGAGCCCGCACCGAGCTTTGTTTTTGCCATAGCTGCCCAAACAGCCGTTGCGGCAACTTTCTCTCCCAGAGTAGAATTGACGGCTGTTATGCATTCGCGCGCTTTTTTAGCAAGCAACCGATCGGCGTCGTGACGCGCGGCGAGGAATTGCGCGAGTATTTTACGCGATGTCGTGCTTGCAACACGCGGCGTCCAACGGATTTACGCCGCGATCGCCCCGTGCCAATCGTTTGGCGAGCTTTGTGCCGGATCCGCAAAATTGATAGCCCGGTATGTGCAATTCGAAAGGTAAAACGTTTATAGCGCTATTCAACAGACCTGCGCCGCTCGCGAAACGCATCCGACGCAGTTGCGAGAAACAGGCGCGTTCGAACAATTGTTAGTTTGCGCGCGATCCGCTCGCGCTACGCTTGTCGACTGATCGATCGATTCAACGGTCGGTTAAAACGATTTTGGGATCGCGGCGACGCGAGCGCGCGTTTTAAACGATAACAACGACATGCGTTTCGGTAAACAACCGTTTGCAATACGAGTGTTGAATGTCGAAAAACAAACGCGACGATCGAACGAGGAGGAGAAAAACGCGCGAAGCGGACACAGTCCTTTCCTGCCGAACGCCATACGCGCGATCGTTTGCGGACCGTCCAACTGCGGCAAGACGAACGTTTTGATACGACTGTTGGAGATTCCGCACGGTGTGCGATTCGAGAACGTGTACGTGTATTCAAAGTCTTTGCAGGAACCAAAATATCGCTATCTAGAGCAATTGTTAGGATCAATGGATGAAATAGGTTACTTCACGTTCGCGAACAACTGCGACGTTGTGCCGACGAACGAGGCTTTGCCCAATTCCGTGTTCGACGACGTTATCTGCGACAAACAGGACGCGATACGGAAGTACTTCGCGATGGGTCGTCACTCGAACGTCGATTGCTTTTATCTCTGTCAAACGTACGCCAAGATACCGAAGCATCTGATTTGCGACAACGCGAATCTGTTGACACTGTTCCGACAGGACAGCACGAATCTTCGACACGTTTACAACAATCAACACCGACATGTCATACAATGACTTCTCGGACCTGTGTCGCGCGTGCTGGAGGCGAAAGTACGGTTTTGTTGTGATAGACAAGGATAGCTCGTTTTGCAACGGCAGGTACAGACGCGGGTTCAACGAGTTCGCCGTGCCGTAGACAGCGGCAGTTGCGAACGGTATGTCGAGCAACAGGACCTCGCGCGTCAACGTTGACCGCCGATATCGACGAACGCGAGCGTTTGGCGAAAGATATCGCTCGAACGCGCGAATCGATACGCAAGAAACATAAATTGTTGAAACCGGGACGCATCGAGGACGAGCTCGCTCTCGAACGGCACTTCAAACCGATCGTTGAACCGTTGCAAGAACTGGTCAAGAGTGCAAAACCAACGGAACGTGTTTACACAGCGGGTGTGAAGAGGAAGCTCGAGGACGGCGCGATGGCGGCGGTGAGACCAACGCCGTTAAAACCGAAGAGACGTCGATCAAACGCACCGTTGTCAATATTACCCTCTTAAAATTACATCACAATACTATTAATGTTATGCAACACACAGAGAGCCTAGATAACATTTATCTTCCAATTCTCAATCAAATTTAGTTTCAATTTTTGTATTTTATCTAGAGGGAACTAACATCGAGCTTGTTGACGTGACTTATTTGACTTCTTGTTTAGTAATAACAATGTAATACTCAGTTTCACACGTTCTAACCATCATTGTAAATTTTATTTTATTTTATTTTATCCTTTTGACTGTTATATCGTTAACTAAGGATGAAGCAATGTTAATTAAGGTATACGAGCATTGCGGTTCTTCCAAATAAAACATTGTTTAACATACTAAATTGTAATCTGGTGTTTATTATAATATTTCTCATTTTAAATTGTATAGTATTTTTACTGAAGATGACTCAAATAAAAGTCGAAACGTTTGGAGAATAACGCTTTCAATCATTACGACAAACTCCATAGTAAAAGTTAAGGAAACTGTGGATAATCTGCAAGATAGTTTTACGACTGTGTTGTCGCGCGCTGAGGCGACGGAAAAGCGGTTGTTGAGCTTGGAGAAAAGCGCGAGACATTTTGTCACTCAACGCGAGTTCGACGATCTTAAAAAATACGAGAAGCAGTCAAGCAAAGAACTGAGCGAAGCCGTTGAGCATCTGCGAACGCGTACGACCGATTGTTGCAGCTGGAGACGAGACCGCGGGGTGCGAATTCGCGCGAGATCGAAGACTTGAGAAAAGATCTAATTCAATTTTACGAAAAAGTGGGAGAGGCGATTGAGACTCTGCGAAGAAACGTGTACGATCGATTAGTGCAGCTAGAGGATTCGCGAACAAAACTGAAAAAAAGTGATTGAGTCTCTGCACACAAATGTAAGCGAGTTGCACAGCGCTATTCTGACTCACGTTCAAGATATTTATTCATTTGCAAATCGCTCGCTTGCAAGACACGATACTTAACGAATTGCTTTGCAATATGTAGAACTCTATCAACGAGCTCAACACGAGCTCTGACGTGAGTAACCTGCGCAAGACTGTGCGAGAATCAGCGAGACAAAACAAGCAGCCGCAATCGACATGAGCGTCGAGAAGAGAGAGCTCGCAGAGGAATTGCATGCGCCCGCGCGACGCAACTTTCCGCGCAGATGAGTCGTTGTACGCGGTTACGACGATCTGTGGCAGGCTGACGTGGTCGAGATGCGTCCTTACGTTCGTCAGAACAAAGGTCACAACTACATTCTCACAGTCATCGATGTGTTGAGCAAGTAGGCGTGGGTGTTGCCACTTAAGAGCAAGAGTGGCAAAGAGGTCGTTGGGGCGATCGCGAAGATCTATCGCGCCGACGATCGTTGTCCGACGAATCTGCAAACTGATCGCGGCAAAGAGTTCTACAACGCGGATGTGGAAAATTTGATGCATCGTCACGGCATCAATCACTACTCCAATCATACTCTGTTATAAAAGCGTCGGTGGTTGAACGTTTCAATCGTACGCTCAAGAACAACATGTGGAAGATGTTTACGCTAAACGGATCGTATTGCTGGATCGACGACCTGCAACGACTTGGAACGGAGTACAACGCGCGCAAGCATTGCACCATCGGCGCGCGACCGATCGACGTAACGCGGGCTTTGAGCGAGCGACTCCTGCGCACGGCGTACAGCAACGTCAAGATTGCCGGACCATTGTGATTCAGAGTCGGCGATGCTGTGCGCGTGAGCAAGTACAAAACCGTCTTTGCGAAGGGTTACACTCTAAACTGGACCACCGAAATGTTCCGCGTCAAAAAGATGCAACAAACTTCACCAACGACTTACCTCGAAGATTATTGTGGTGAACCTATAGCCGATGGATTCTACGAACACGAGTTGCACGCGGTCAAACATCTGGACGTTTATCTCGTAGAGAAGAGTGTACGTCGCCGAGGCAACGAGGTGTTGGTCAAGTGGTTGGGACTGGACAGTTTGTATAATTCCTGGATAAATAAGAACAATGTTGTCTAATATTATTATGCTATGTGTAATCTCTCTCTTTTATTCTTATATTTACAATATATATTACATATATCAAATTATATATGTATTATCTTACATGTATTTTGTGTTTATTTACATATAATTACTTTATTCTGTATTATTATATTTTCAACGTAACCAAACCTAATCTAACTTAGTTAGGTTAGGTTAGGTTAGGGATATTGTAGTGACCCCACGATAAGGGTAGGTTAGGTGATCTATGGACGATGCACCGCTTGTCGTCGTGCGGACGCAGAGCGAGCTTCCGCTCCGAAACGATGAACACCTCGTGCAGCCGAGATCGTATGCACGACTGCTGTCAGTTCGGTTGCGTTCCGCAGACATTGCACGTAGTCGTCGAAGGTGATTGTTCTCGCGACGACGTTTCTCTTCACACCCTTCATCTTCTTCGTGCACTTGCTGTTGCCCAGTCGAGTTGCGTACATCTTTGCGCGCAAACCTACAAACTCCCTCATAACAGCACCGTTGTTCTCATCCTTCATAAGCCCTGGTACCTTCTTGTTCGCGCGAGGCATGTTGTAAGGATTGTCCGCTGGATAGTCGCTCGTATCGAAGCTAGCGATATCGCGCATCATATCCTTGTACACGTCCTCGCACTTTACGTGGTATATCAAACTGTCGGTATCGGTGTAGAGAATCTTGCAATCGTCATCGTACAACGGTGCCATGTAGTCATAATGGAATTCGTAAAGACAGGTCTTTGAAATGTCGAGTATGCACATACCGACATACAACGGTTTGTTGAATAAAACTTCCAGACGACGCAGTTCTATGGCTACCACATCCTCAGCGGACACGCTGCGACTGTGGAAATTCGATTTTGCAATGAGCGCCTCCACCCCGTATCGTTCATCCCATTTTGTAACGAGTCGTACATCGNTGTACTTGCGCACGTTCTCCATCGTCTTGCAGAACATCGCGTTGTTCATAAGTTTGTAAAGGTTCTTCGTAAATTCGTTGGTGGCGCGGAATCGAGTATTGAGCTCAATGTACTTGCGCGACCAAGGCGATTGCGAGAACCGCAGCACCCGATGTATTTGCGTCAGGCAAAGCCCGTGTCGCAGACACTGCTGCAGGTTGATGTAGTAAATCACGTAGCGCTTTTTATCAAACACCGTGGCGAGCAGTTTGACGTGATTCTTTCTATGTTTACCAGGCGGCTCCTCACGCGTCGGACAAAAAGGTAGATCTCTGTGCGCGTCGTGCAGTTCTTTCGGATACGTCAGATCCACCTCGAGTATGTAGCCGACGTTGCTATCCGCCGCGACCGTTGTCACATCGAACTCAGACGCGTTCTCTATCTATGTAAAGTTACCGTACGGAAGCGGTTGACACATTCCCGCATCCGTAGAGATTGTTCACGTCGTAGTAGATACATCAGATACGTCGACGGTGCGGACGGGTCGTGCGAACGCGCGTACCTGTTGTTTGCGCTGGCGTATCTGTTCGAACATTGACTCAAATTGCCGCGTATGCCGCGTTCCACGAACATTACCATGGCGACGTCGGTCAACAGCTCGAATGTCACACAAGTATGCTTCAACATAGCGTCCCATGCATATCCAGGCAGCGTGTAGTAGTGCACGGGATCCAGTCTGTAACTCGCGAAGCACTCGCGACGAAAGTTTTCAAATGCATCGGCCAGCAAAAGTATGTCTGTCTTTAGATACAAGTCGCTATATGATCCCAGATTATCGATGTTGAATCGTCGCCATACATTCATCGCGTGCGCGTACTTGCTCTCCGTCACGGTTTCATCGGTGAGCGAACTGTAAAACACTTCGCGCGGTGGCAGACTAGTTTCCAACAGTTTGTCGACGCTGTCCACATATTCGTATGGAAACACACCTTTTCGCGTGAGCAGTTCAAAGTCCTCGGCAGAGAGATCACTGAATTCCGTTTGAGTCACTCGCAGTTTGCTCCTATCGAGATAAAACGCGAGCTTTTCTAAGCTTGTGCTCAGAAATTTGTAGGAATTGATGAACCGTAATTGCACGCATCTATGTTCGTCTTTGTCCCGAGTACTGCTCACATGTTTTGTCAACAATATGTAGGTCTCTTTTGTCACAGGCAGCACGTTGATCTCACCCTCGAAAGCGTTGGCCACATCCTTGATGATAAAATGCGCGTCGTATCCCGATAGGTTGTGGAACACAACGGGAACAACGTAGACCTGTTTATAATTCAGATAGCACGCGGAGTGCGCGGGTCCTCTGAAGCGTTTTGTCAGATGACAGTGGTCGCGCACCCTCTTGTCATCTTGCTTGAATGGCCGTTTGCACACGTAACAGTACTCGGCATTCCTAAACCGCTTGACTTCCAACGGTGTGAGATTTGCTATGGGCACCAGGGGGAACAAACTCAGCTACTTTTAGTGGCGAGCTTTACTTCGGTGGTTTTCGTGCCAGGCGGCAGCACAATCGATTTCTTTCTTTGCCTCTTTTCCCCCTTGTCTAGAAGTGCATCATCTGATATCAGCCATAACAGTTTCCAACAGTTTCGCTTTTGTTGAGTTTCACGGCATTTCGCTACATTTTATGAGTTTTCTTCTGGTTTTTAAGTGTATTTTTGTGTATATGTATTAGATGCGCAACTAAGTTCTCGCTGTTTTTTTTTGAAAATGCAACTTTATTGTGAAAAAATGGTTACAAATAAATCATTCAAAGTATTGCCCATTGGTAGCTACAACTTTTTCCCATCTTTCTGGCAGAGTTCGAATACCGTTACGGTAAAAGTGTTTGTCTTTTAAGGCTATCCACAAATCAAGCCATTTTTTGATGTCTTCATATGAGCGGCTGATCAGTCAGACCATGTGCCATCGAACGTAACAAGTAATAATCGGACGGCGCAATATCTGGGGAATATGGCGGGTGGGGTAGGACTTCCCATTTGAGCGTTTCCACGTAGGTTTTAACGGGTTT